TTTATGTCGATGGCAGAAGAAGAAGATGTATGGTAAGCAAATGCCACGAAGCCGGCGAGTACTTTATGTATATACAGAGTTTCACTCGAGGAGTCTCACGCATTCCTCAGGGCGACCTTCAGGGGCAACTGAGGACCGGCTTCCCGTTTGCCCTTGACCAAAGGGGGATTCGAGCCCGCTCGGACGTGCTCAATCTCAATTCCTTTGACGGGGGAGAACTTGAAGGCCTCGACAAGAGCAGCTGTGGCCACCTGAAGCTCCAGAACACTGCAGATACCAGGGTCAGAGTGATGGATGCGAAGCTACTAAAGCAACTTACGCGAATCGCCAGCCTATGCAAGAACGAACACCGCCACCTGTTCGAAGCGGATAAAGATGTTGAAGTAAATTAACGTACGAAGATGAACAAGGCTTACTGAAGGTCATCAAGTTTGCGTACACTCCCAAAGTGGTAGGCCGGTCAGAATCGAGGTATCGCTTTGGGTTCCACATGTTTGCATCATCACCCCAGACAGATTTGAATCTTTGAACAAAGTTTTTGTCAGTCAAGAGTGTCAAAAAAGAGGGGAACGTTCACCTGTTATATTCGAAGATATTCATAATTACTCTCTGCCCTTTGGTGACTGGAATCTCCTTCAACACCGTACCCGATTGATCGGTGATTGGGAAGCTCAAGGGAATGACATCGTCAGTCTCAGCCTCTCTGACGAGGTCTGGCGCAATTGGGTGGAACCTCAGAGTTTCCTGATTTTCAGGCCAAGAATGAGACGACAGGTACGATCATGGATAGCTCCCTAACCTTTATGGCCGCGTTCAAGATAGGCATGACCTCCAGTTCCTTCACTGCAAGTGGGCCGTCGTTCCCAGTCTGGTCGCGAACCTCCCGTATCTCTTGGAATAACTTTGTTTGCCATTCAGGGTTGTGCGCTATCTCGTAAAGTAACCAAGTAAGCCTGGACCGAGGAATATCAGCTCGAATGATCACAGTGCGATTATAGGAACATACGTAGACGCAGTCGTCTCATGCCCAGCGAATATGATTGTCCTGCACAATATGTATCAAGTTGAGTGGAAATAGATTACGATGCTATGACTCACGCCATCTGAGACAGAGCTTCCACCGGGAACAAGCTCTTGTTCGGATCTTCCGCAGCCAATGAACGGGCTGTAACATATGTGAGGGTCAACATTCGACGAGGGTAAGATGATACTCACCTATGACGCTCAGGATATCCGTATTCTTCTCTCCTCCACCGAGGCTTTCCGACTTTTGAGTGATCAACTCCTTCGAGACGTTTTGGCTGGCTGCAATCCAGTGTGCAAATCGTTTATCTTCCTTAGTTTTTTTCAAGCCAATCAGAGTGATGACGGGTTTGGGGAGGAACCGGTAGGATGCATTGCGGAGCATTTTGAGCTGCGTTGGGTTGCCAGAGTCGAGACTAAGGATCAACAAAAATGTATTATGAGTTGAGTGCCCAAGAATAGAAAGGCAGAGGATCTAACGCACAACAGGTCCCGAAGTATATCACGGAGACCGCTCTTCTTCTGTCCCATTGCATCAAAATTGTATTCAAACATAGCTGGGGAGGAAACTGTAAGAGGCAAGTCTCTGATTCCGACGCGGAGTTCAAGTACATACCTTCCCCCAGAGCATTGAGTGTCATACCGTGAACCTGTCCGAAGCAGTTGATAGTCGTGGCCCCGCTCTCGATATCAGATCGCCACTTTGTTATCAGCTTGGATCGAGAACATTGTTAGACCCAACGGTCGGTATAAGTTTGGGAGCTAAGTATAGCTCACTGTTTGGACACACGTCTCAAAGACAGAGGCAAAGGGACGGATTTGGGCAGCAGAGAACACGGGGTTCATGATCTTCCGTTGTCGTTGATGGATCTCGCCTGTCACGAGAGAGGTTAATTGATGTTCCAACTTGTAAGCGTGGAATGATACGGACCATTAACGGTTGCGAGCCCAGGCCCGAACGTTTTCTCGATTTGTTGCTCCATGTCCATGGGTTTCTTGTATCGGTACGCGGACTTGTGACAGATATGCTGGAGTGCACGAGGGTCTGAGACTTCCAATATATCCTCCTAATAGTTTACGTTGACTCGAATCAGCCACTCAATAATCTAAAAAGATATACTACGGTGGTACTCACCCCGAATATCCCAGCCAAGCGGAATACGGATCCATACTGCTCGTGCCATTCGTGTTCAAGTTCACCTATCTCCCTTGCGCGAGTAATTTCCCATTCGTGTCCTGAATGATCCATGAGCAGATTCAGAGACTGTATGAGTGGAAAACATGAACGGCGACTCACCAAGGAGAAAAGATGGCGATGGCGGTCCCTGGAGTGTTTTGAGTGAACGTCTCCTCGCCCTAATGACCAAGGCAAGAATGGCGCTGGTAAATACAGCGAGTGAAGCGGTTAAGAGCTGAATTAGCGATGGCATGGTCTGTGTGGTGTGCTTAAGGCTTGCTCGTCCTTATATGTACGCTCTCGTCAGTTCCAACCCTCCGGATGGGCCACTGGGTGTAGCTTCGCGTAAGAGGACCTCGATAATACTTGCTTACCTTCGGCCCGCTAACCGGATGGCTTGCCGAGGTCAAGGGACGTCCCTAGGGTCCGAGAAATATGTCAATGCTGCAGAAACAGACAATGTAATGTCGATCACCCATCAGCACCTCGCTGCACGCCCGAGTTCGAGAAAGCCGGAAGTGATGTACGACTACTAGCAAGGTATTCAGGACAATCAAACCATAGAGAGCGAGGAATTTCGGTACATCTTTGAGTTCGCTGTGTGAGCGAATTTAGAGCTATTGGGCGAAGTAGGTCAGGAGGCTCAAAGCGCCATGGACGACCCGAAAGTCTTGTGCTACGCAATATTCGGGACACGTCCCGTGGAAATTTAATTCTCCTACCTAACCCATTAGAATGACAAGACATGTACGACAATTGAGTGAGCCAGGATCAAGAAGCAAGCGTGGGACAAATGTCGCAGAGATCAAAGCTCAGAGCCTTTCAGCATAAGTGGCGGCACGCCGGCTTGACCTCGAATAAGGCTGCACATATATCTCGAATGGAGTTTATATACTCAATCCAACGTCACATCGTAATTGATTCCTGTCTACGATTTGACCCAGGTTCAAGAGCTTTCTTTTCGCTTTGTTGCGACTTCGCGGGTCCCGCGATGGAAAGGGAGCCGATAAGTAGTTGTGCACGCCTCCTGCTCGAAAATGGGAAAAGAACTAACATCTATAATTGGATTACATTTCCGGAGTGCTTCGATACCTGGGGGCCGACTGTGTGAGCATCTTTCGCACTCGTCCCGATGACCAGATTTTCGCTGACGTCTTAATTGCTTCTTTTCTTGGAAAGCTGTGACATACTATATAGTCGTTGTCGATATCTCATTTCTTGACCCCCCATCTTTCAACTTAACATTGACAAAGAGATATGAGAATTATGTGTATCACCATGAGCGGCCTTGATGAACACCGTTCTGGCCGAAAAGACCGCTGCAATTCTTCGCGGTTGTCTGGATTTCAAACTGGATGGTGCACTTTATCTACCCGAGCCACTGGGATTGGGGCCCGTACCCGAAGCAGTAGAATTCACGTCCCGATGACCAGATTTTTGCTGACTTTTTGAAGGATTCTTGTCATGGGAGCCTCAATTTCTTGTTCTTAACTATACAAGTCTACGCCAAGAGCTGTGCATATAGACGGCACGGTAGCGCAACCGTGGTTGGATGGTCGTGACAAAACCATGAGCGTGTCATGGCCATCAATTTGGATGTCTCGTTCTATCTTCCCAGGCTATCGAAAAGCTCAAGCGCGGGTTTCTATACTCTACCTCTTCTCATTCCTCTACCCTGTCCTCGCATATTTCATATGAGAAAGTGCCTACAAAACCTTATTTTTATCATCGGTCCACCGTCTTACTCGTCAAAGTCGGTGAGCACTCGTAGCCATATTTTGTCTTGACCATTCTCACTTGTTGTTTGTTTGACTGATAGGTACCGGTCACTATCTTGTACGGGCGTAGCGCTTATACCAAAAAACAACTCTGAAGGTCAACTCCGAAGGTCAGAATCGCAGGTCCAACCAGGACTCGAACCTGGGTTAGTGGAATTCTTATTATGAAGATCAAGAGGTGTGCCCGATCTGGATCTTGGACATAGGCCGAGCTGGCATGTGGCGGACACATCACCCCAAATCCGGTAAACCGCTGATGGGCGGCGTATCCGGGACGCGACTTCTCCTCCTACCATCTCGTTTGGTCGTTCAGTACCATTCTCCTTTCCATACATCTATGTCTTTTTGTCACTGTCGCAAACTCAAAATCTCTGTCAAACTACACAATGACTCTTGAATGATCTCCCAATATCAATCAATATCACTATGTCTCCCTACTATGCGAGCATTTGCATGAAAATATAAACTTTTCTTCCTCTTGATAGGCTTTACCTGCAACCGCACTGGTGGCTGAGCGCTGAGGCGCTAAGGCGGCCACACTCGAGAGTCAAGCTACATTCGAAGTGAATTTTGGCCAGTTCTCGTCCGTTTTTCGTGATTTTGGTGTCTCAATATAGGTTTTGAAGCACGGGCAAAACATTCCCGGCACTTGCAACCGTGAAATCTCTACTGTTTTCCAGCATCATTTTTTCTATTCAGTAGGTAGTATTGATCCGCGACCCCCCCCCCCCCCCCCTACGTTATACGTCCAAGATTCCAATCGGCCACACCTCTTGATGAAGATGAAGGCTCGATCAGAATCCACTGTGATAACCACTACACTATTAGACCAATGATACCCTTCGTGTACTATCACGTCATTCCTGGGCACGCTTCTCAAATGAATAGGGTACGGAGATACTTAAGTAACAAGACAAAGTCAGGTAAAGCATGGACTCAGACAAACTAAAAATTACGTATGTGTCGAAGACCACACTCAGAATTTCGGAAGAAAATGAAAAACAATACTGGAACCCTATTATAGCCCACCACTCGAACTCGCAGCCTTCAGATTGCCCAAATCACCAACGTCTCAATGGGGCATAATAGTCTGACGGTTCATCCGATTGAACTAGGCGGGCGTATACTACGGAGGCTTAGAGGAAAGTATTACTCGGCGAACTGGATGGTCAAAGGAAGTTGCATTCACGATTACTTCAACTCTGAGGTTACAGTGCTGTCTTTAGTCCTGAAGTACCAAACGGGGAGGAGAAAAAGTTGAGTGACGAAGGTCTGAAGGTCTAACCAGGATTCGAACCTGGGTTAATGGAATAGCGAGTCAAGGAGCAGAATCAAAATCCACTGTGATAACCACTACACTATAAGACCCTATATGAGCTTTCATGATATTTGCAATATATACAGCTTCACTTCCGGCGCCCGAAATGTAGGCCACTGACGGACGAAAATACCACGATAACGGGACGATGATTAGGATCACATATGGTGAACACACTAACTATGTGTCCGAATGGTGCTCGAAAGGCACAAAGACTTATAGTGAGGTGAAAAGTACGAGTCCCAACCCGAAGATCAGGGAAGATATCTCTGCGGCGATGCACGAAACGACCGCAGGAACCGAGTGGATCACGCGTAGCGACTCGACACAAGCGCCCTGGTACTCGAAGGCAGTCGTGAGAACAAACCATACGTGCAGCGACCCACAACAATGAACGAAGAACGAAAGAGGCCGAGCGCAGTAAGCAGAGCGCTGGTGGATGAGAGAACGGTGTGTGTCGGTTGACAGATGGACGATAACCGATGTAGAGGAGGGAAGGAGGCTGGAGGTTTCCCATTGATTCGCATCAGAGCAGTTTAGATCGGTGTAGTCGTTTGTGAAGCTGCACACTATCAGAAAACGGTCTGGGAGACGGAAACGAACATTGAAAAACGCAAGTAAATCCATCTCAACAGCCGTCAGCGGTTGCCATAGACCGAAAGCAGGGAGGGCCGCTCACAGGATGCAAAGAGTCGCGTCAATGGCTACGAGGATATTAGCGTCTCGTGTAGGTTACGAGATCGACTAGGACAAAAAGCAGCAAGACTTGAGCGATCGCGAGTCGAAACGGATGTAGATAGAAACATACCTGTAACCATGCAGGATGGGTATCCACCGAAGGGACGTCAACATACCCCAGAAGTTGTGGACGTGCGAGCCAAATAGGTGGTTGTCTGTGTCACCAGCTGAAGGAGCTTGAAGGGCTTCGCGTATCTCGTATTGGTGAAGGTTAAACGTGAACGTGATCGGCTAACAATCCGTAGCTGGTGGGGCCAGAAAGGATAGCCAGCCCCGCTCCATGATGACTGGTTTATGATCGGTAGCGGTAGGTTCAAAGGTGCGTATTCGGTGCAGAGAAAGTCAGATTGCAGCAAGGAAATGAGCTTCCAAGTCCAGAGGGAAAGATCAGAACGGATACAGGAATGAATGAACGAGAGGATGGCAGCGTACCTCAACACCCGCTATCTATGGAGCCCAGCCGCCTATCCATTGAACGTCGATATTGAGACTCCAACTCATCATAATCCAGGCCTCTCGTCGTGAGTAGAAAGAGAAGCTATCAGGAGAGGATAAGATTCAACGCTAGGATAAAAAAGAATGATGTCAACCTGCCATCAACAGTGTGCGACGCTCATCCAACCAACGAAAGACCAGCGACAGACGCCAACTAGCCCAGAGTTCCTGGAACTGAGGCATGTCGAGCAGGTGATTGTAATCGGCCCAGGGATCTTGAGGAAAGGGCGCACCTCACGCTGCCTTGTTGCGAGTGGTATGCACGTAGCCGGTGGAGAACTTCAAAGCCCGTAAGAATGTGTGAGCATTGAACAGGGAGGAATCGCGACGTACTTTTACGCTCACTGCTCGCCCGATGAGAGCTACCAAGAACGAAGCACAGAGAGATCGCCTATGAAACGAGGACATATGAGCCCAAGCGAACACAAATGACAGGTAAGCAATTGTGAAGTCGACATACCTAGCCATGATCATCCAAGGACATACGTTCAACGTCGGAGGGGAAGCAAAAAACATCACCTCATCGTGGTCAGAAGCCAAACCCAGATCTTCGGCTCCGAAGACACCAAGATCATGTGGTCACTTTATCCCCGCAATCTCCGAATCCCGATTACGCTACTTATTATTTATCCCTCTGAGCCATTGTAACGATCCCTTAGCTCAGCGGTAGAGCATCTGATTCCAGTAGTTGACAATCCAGAAGGTCGTCCGTTCAATCCGGGCAGGGATCATACTTTTTCAAGCCGCCATGGTACAACCCATCTAACCAAGGCCGTTTCATCAAGATTCCTGTATCACTAGTTATCGAATTTCTCGGGGAAAGAATCGAGCGAGGCCTGCGCGTAACCACACATTCTCCGGATTGATTGCCTCAAGTACCCCACATAAGGAAGGATCAAGAGAGTAGTCATCATGCCCTGTATTCATGCTGGTACACGTCTCATTTGCTCGATCAGCCAAGGAAACATACCACTGTTGGACCCCCTCATTCCTTATACTATCATTTCGAGAGGGGAAAAGTTCTCTATTGAAGCTATATATCCGTGAATATCACTTCGAAGTTCCTATAACACGTCGTGAGCGAGAGCCTAATGAAAATAAACATTATCCGGAGACCATGGTGAAGTTCCGGACCCTGGGTCATCGTGCAGCTGTGTGAGATACGCGTCAGCATGAGGCACTAATGTTAGCCACTACACCATGACCGATTCATCAGAGTCGTCAGTGAATCGGTCCTCTCTGACTCAGAGGGAGAAGAAGATACAGAGTTATCCCGACTGGCGTAGCTGATTTTGGTTCAACCACAGTGTGTGCCCACTTGTTGTGACAAATAGGGAACGATTGTCGTCCTGGGAGCGCATAATATCAAGTTATCATTGTTAATCGAGAAATGGTGTCGTGTCCATCCTAGTTCTAGAAGATCCAACAAGACTATTATTCCACTTTATTGAGTCTTCTGTAGCTGAGAGAGTGACGTCGACCTTCTAGGCCAGTCTTTGGGGGTACCAGATCACTTCATGGGCACAAACTAGCTGCTTGGCGGGCTTTGTGAATAGTATGTGGTACGAAAATCAGTGTCGGGCAGACCTTTGTGGTAAAATGCCGGTGCCCTCAGATGTAGCGGAGCCCAGTGGCCTTCCCGTTGACACACCTCTTTCACCGATATTCATACATAACCCAACACTCGCTTACCTTATCTTTCTGTCCTTCATCCAATCTCACTCTTGTCCTAAAGCGCTGAACACCAAGACTACAGATACAGAGATGGCGGCAGCAGAAGTCGCCTAGCAGAGACAACAACAGAGATGGCAGAGACAGCGAGCAGAGAGCAAGAGCAAGTAAGGATCTGGTCCCAATGACAAGTTAGATACATTGCAGATAAAGGGGAAGACAGAAGTAACTACTCACCTGGTCCCAATGACAAGAGGTCAAGATGAGGGACCAGGTGTAAACTACCTAGCTTATATACTAGAATATGGGTTGTACGAGAATGAAGAAAGGGAATAGGGAACAAGGGAAGAACAATAGTAGTCCAGGTATGGAACAAGAACAAGTTCAGAACAAGTAACTCTTGTATGTAAAAGAACAAAGAGAAAGATGGAAACAATAGATGGAATCAGTTGTGAAGATGATGTGAAAGAACAAGGAGAACAATGGGAACAATAGATGGGATCAGTTGTGGAAACGATATGAAAGAACAAGGATGAGGAAGGAAATGATGGGAGGGATGTGGAAAGGGGAACTGGGTATCTGGTAGGCATCAAAGTATCAAACAGGTGCTAAAAGGGGAAAGGATAGGGGGAAAAGCGGCACTTCATGACAACTCTCCATAATCTCTATCCCCCTTTATCTCTTGTTTCACCACTCCGCTTGCCATTTTTTTATGAGTTCCCAAACTGCCTCCTTCCTCCTTAAATTCCATCCGTTCTTCACACCATTTACAATTCTCTTACAAGTTTCAACTTCTTGATCACCTCCTTTTGACTCTCCTCCCTTAATCTTCACCGCTTTCTCACTTTCTCCCACCCAACGTAGACGTCTTTAGCGTCCACTCCGAGCTTCCAACAATCCCGCTCTACCTTGGGAAAGTAGAGGAAGGCTGGCACTGGGTGCAAAATAGTATATCACAAGTGGTTTTATTCAATCTGTATGCTGAATTTATTCTAAAAATTGTAAAATCTGGAATAATTTCAACATGAAGATTGAATAATGCCACTTGGTTTACGTTATTTTGCACCCAGTGTGGGGATCTTCGAATGGTTGACCACTCCGCAATAAGCTCACATGGGAATACCAGTGCTAAGGCATCATGGTAGTACAAAGATGTTGTTTCTTTAGGATTGGGATTCAGAGGGATGTAGTTGAACGGGGTGGGTTCAAAAGGGGGATCTGCAGGTGGTTTCAACCTCTTGTGACCGAACTTTGGGTTCGAGAGGCGTACCCAAGTACCAACGCGGATTGTTTCAGAAGGATAATACAACGAGCAGACATTGTCGTGCCATTCATCCAAGGGCCGCATGTTGACGTTACTCCACAGGCTGCTGCAAACATGGACAACATAGGCACACTTTGTCAGAATTCTTGCAGCCGACGCCGGATCATAGGTATCAAGGTATACAACACCATCGCCGACCCGACGGTAATGGATTGATGTTATGACGGAGCTCTTTGTAGCAACTGCATAGTGCATTGTGTAAACAACAACGTTGAACTCCTTGCGGGGCTAGAAGAACAACGAATTGTTAGTGAGCGCCAAACAACCCCAGACTACTGCTCACCTTACAACACACCAACCACAGAGTTCTGGGGATTGTGGGCTGTTCCTCATCGGCAGCAAGTCTATCTGGCTGCGGCGAAGACAGAAATGGTGGGGACAGTTGTTTGGGAGTCAAGGTTTTGGTGATTGTCTCTTCATTCCAGGGTCGTGAATTGAGTTGTCGATGTGAAGATTGCGTTTCATTTGAGTCTTCCTGGCCATCGTCAACAACAAAATTATCTAAACAACATGTGAGCAGATTGCTGGATAGGTGGGATGCAAGTACGTACCTAGTTCTTCCTCCCCGCTGTCATTGTTGTCGTCTCAGTCCACCTCTGCCTCCAAGTCTAAGAATTGCAATGTGGCTTTCCTCCTCCTGATCTCCTCCGTGCCTGCACTCGACCTTGACGCAGTTGACGAGCTTGAAGGGCTCATTTGAAATGAAGGAGTATCAAACAAACATCGATTGGCCTACAGAGAAAACGAGGTGGGCATCAGCTTTTATTCTGTTTGTTTCATGATTCACTAATATTTCCTGATTCATACTGTTACGGAGCTCACAAAGGTTTTTCTTATCATTGTAGTGTACACTATATACCTATTCTACATAAAGAAATGCAAGAGGTATCAATTAAAAGACTTACGGAGTGCCCACAATGCGTTGATAGTGGTGGTTGAAGACAAAGCCCAAAAGCTGTGCAAGGGCGCCTTGCACGGTGGGTTGATGTTATGAATTGCCCCACTGTTCCTCTTGTTTCCTTGGTCCCCGGATTATTTCCCTTGACTTCCCTTTGATTCCACTTCATTCCATGTCCCTAGTATTGCATTATGGCTCCCTTGATGTTCCAGACCATTCCAAATCATTCCATACCTTGGGTTCATCATTCCATATGATTTCCATCATGATATTGCTGTACTTGACATCCCTCGATTGTTCCATCAGTTTCTACCTGTCTCCCTTGATATTCTTTGATGTTCCACATTGTTCTTTCATCTTACTATACTTGGATTGGTTTCCATGACTCAGAATGCTGTACCATTGTCATATATACTCATGGACACCTGTAGATAGTTCCCCAGCTTGTCCACTTCGTCTCTACACCCAGTATACAGTGCCAGATGTTCTGTGCAATGCTAGACCTTCTACCCTCAACTCCTTGACCCAGATGAGGTGGCCTGAGAGGCCCTAGACCTTAGGCTCGTTCTCGACAGTTGACGCTGGGGACCTTGTGGGGGAAGCAGCACATGATCAGTCTGGCATCAACCCAGCGCCTGTACTTGGGCATTTGAGCTTTGACGCCAGACTGATCATGTGCTGCTTCCCCCCCAAGGTCCCCAGCGTCAACCTACCATGCAAGGCGCCCTTGCACAGCTTTTGGGCTTTGTCTTCAACCACCACTATCAACACATTGTGGGCACTCTGTGTAAGGGTCAGTTCATTTTCATCCCGGAATACACCTCAATCACCTCTAGAGGGTCTGACAACCATGATGAACCCTTGCACACACGCTGATCCCAGCCATCCGCGATATAAGCCTCTGACACCCAAAGCACTGCCACTCGGCGTTCGGCGTCTAATGGCCGAATTCGTCAATAAAGACATTTATCCGCGTTCCCCTCAGACTAGGAGATACTCCCAGTTCACCACATCATCTCCACTTCCCCTCAGGCGTATTGGCCACCTCCCATGACTTCCTGACGACCTGTATTCCTTTCACATCGTCCCACGTTCCTTCCGGACACGTTGCCGCCTATGTTCCATTTATCCGCGTTCACCTTTCATTTCCACAAGCCTTTGCTCCCGCATTTGTACTCTCAATACCCTTCTTCCACAATGCTTTCTCCTACCAGAATGACCCTTAGTTCCTCCATGTTCATCCCGGCCAGGTTGTACCTCTCATTTCACATTGTCCATGTTCAACCTCCAATCGTTATCCTCGTATTTCACACTTTTCTCTTGGACTACACATGATATTCCTGTACCCTATGACATGGTACAGTCCCAGTTTGGATCATGACAACATTTGTTAACAGTATATAAGCCAGGTAGATAGGAATCATGTACAGTAGTTTCCGTCTATTGTCAATCTCGTTCTACAAGCTTCAAGCTCTTGTCTGGTGTGTTTCATAGTCTCAAGTCTCGTACTAACCTTCTGTTCTCGTCATTCTAGGTCTTTGGTTAAAGCCCTTCATCGATTGCAACTGTCCGCGTAACCCAAAGGACAACCCATACCAAAACTCCGCGTTGCTACCTGGCAGGTTTGACCCGGAAAACACACCTTCGATCGGCGATCTCAGGTGTCCACGTTGTGTGTAGGCTTGAATCATACGTTTGAACCAGTCAGAGGCTCTGCTGTGTTCGGATGTTATTCATTTCTCTGTGTTCTCTATTTCCATTATTTCTTCCAGCTTGACGTAGAAAAAGGCCTGTTACACTCTGTAAGTCTTCTCAACGTCTTTATTATCTTTACTATA